AAATACCGCGACAAAATATCGTGATTTTGTAAGTACACCAAGATCCGAGAGGCCCCTTCGCTGTCTCAGGCCCGTGGCCCCCGTTATACTAAAGCCTTCACTGCTCATCATCAGTAATGAAGCTAGAATACAAGTTATGCTCTGCACTGGTTGTAATTTAAAATGTTTATTCAGTAAAAATAAATATTGAAACCATTGAAAAATAACTTAAAAGCTAAAATAAATAAATTCAGTTTCAAAATATATAAAAAATAGTAATTATTCGATATTTTAAACAAAGAAAATTACCCCTTGATTTAATTTCCTAAATAGAAAATGCCATTGACAATTACTAGGGCCTGATAATTGATAATTAAGTAAATATCCGCTTCCATTTATACTGTTTATAGTTGGCGTATATGTTATGTATGGTTTGCATACTCCACCTACAAACTGCTTTATAACTACTGAACACATATTGGCCTTGTTTGCTAGTTGAATAAAAAATTACTTATTAAGATTCGGAGGCCCCCTAAAAGACGGGGCCCGGAGCGGACCGCCCCCCCTGGGCTAAGAAGTCCGCCACTGGACATCAGCAGCACTAGCCGCATTTACCGAAAATCATTTTGGCCAAACAATGCTGGCCGCATTGTCGTCGATGGGATTCGTGCGGCTCTGGCTAATATGCGCACCTTCATTGAAAGTAACACAAACAATATTTTTCTTCGGTCGATGCGGCGCTCTGGTCAATGTGCGCGTACCTTTAAGCCCCGTCTACACATGACGTTAAACTAAAAACTAGCGTATAATACAGTGGAAATTTTACCTGCGGTTTTACTAATGACCAATATTTATGTTGACAGTTGTGTTATAACTATATTTTTTCTATATTGCATTTGTTAAATTGTGCAAAAACGACAGTTTTGGTGTAAAACTGAATGATGCCATGAGTAGTGATGGGAAAAATCGATTAATTTCAATAATCGAGTACTTGAGTTTCAAACGATTGCAATAATCGAGTGATCGCTCGAGCGAAATATCACTCGAATTTAAAAATACGGTTTTTCACCCGTCGCTTGTTGTAAGTACTCGTTAACGCCAAGCGCCAAGCAGTAAATTGCGTGCGCAGGGCACATATCCTTTCGGTGATGAATGGCAAGTAGCAAGCGGCGAGCGATTCGCTTGATCACTTGATTTAGTTTATTTCGAAGCATTGTCGATGTAGGTCGTAAAATGTTGTTCCTCGGATACGCAACGGATAAATATATACGGCGTCGTATAAATTTGCTACCTGCAATGTATGTAGAAAATTCGCTTGGCTTTTTATCGAGTATGTCACATTAAAATCGGATTTCAATTTATTTCAGATCGCTTGCGTTCGTCGCTTGGTACTCGTCACTTGCATCGCTCCTTCATAATCGAGCGATGTCGGTTATTTCAATAATCGAGTAATCGAGTGAATTTTCGCTCGAGTTATCCCATCACTAGTCATGAGACTCTTCCGTCTCAATTGGGGTTCATGTAAAATGGACCATTTTTTCATTGTGTAATACCTTATACTGGGTACATTTTGATTGTATTTAGTATAGAGTGTACCAAAAGTACAATAAATCTGAATTTTCTGAAACGTTCACAACGTTTCTCAAACGATTAAAAAAAATAGAGTTCCAAAAAAGAGAATATCTAATAGTAATACTACAGTATGAAGAACACCATTCAAATATCGATAGAAAAAAGTACAGTTCAATTAAAAGGACGTAACTGTCACATTTTTTCATTGAACAGACTATAATAACTAAAATATAAATTAATAAATATTTCATTAGTATCGTTAATATATGGTTCAAAAAATATTTTATTAGTATCGTTAATATATGGTTAAAGAAATAATATAAGAAATAATATTTACAATCAAGGGGGTACTATAGTATTTTTAATACCTATTTAGAGGTACCAGCCGTTTTAGTAACTTAACGTATGCGGCTTCTTGCACCATCTAAACCCGCATGAAAAAAATTAGGTTATGACCCTTGTCATGTCAAATGCTTGACATATTTCTTATTGCATTGGCGGAGTGACTTGAAATTTCATATTATCAGTGGCGGTTTATAATAATAAAAATTAATTTTATGAAATTCTAAAGATGTTGACGTAATAAAAAAAATATAAAAGAAGCGCACTAATTTTAAAAATATTGTTTTATTAACTAGATACCGAGTTTTCTTAAAAAAATACCTATATTATTTAAGATCTCGATTTAAGGCTTATACTTATGCTTAATGTAGTAAACTATATTCAAAACGATTTAGGATCTCGATTTAAGGCAATTCAAAAAGCGTCCGAAGCACTAAAAGTATAATAAATAATATAACAAGAAGTCGAGCAAGCAGTAATAATATTTATTTAAGGGCTCGTTTAAGTACAAATTCTAGATTTAAAAAAAATTACAACGTGATCTTAAAGGCTAAGTTTAATTATTTTCTAAATCAGAATAACTTTCGGAAAGTGATAGTTCATCATCGGATTCATTGGATACAGAGATCACCATAGGTTCGATGTTTAGTAGATCCAGTTTGTTTTCTACTTCCCATGCTTCAGAAATAATTTTCTCTGTATGTTTTATGTAATTCTGCCAGTGTTGCTCCGGTACATTATTTACAACGTCATTCCATACTTTTAACACTTCAGTAGGTGACCCTGCAGTTTTCATAATAGCTTGGTCATAATGCCTTTTAGTTTCAGACCATACCATTTCGATGGCATTAAAATGGCAATGGTAGGGTGGTAGCCTGAGAACACAATGACCATGCTCGGCAGCGTATTTATCTAAATGATAATTTTTTTCCGGAAAAACTTGCTTTTCAATTATATTCCAAACAGCATCCTTTAAAATGTGATCTGGAAAAGGAATATTCTTCTTTTTGAGCCATTCTAACATGCGTGTTTTGCTCTAACTTTTTCTTGGGATTTCTTCATCCAGGCGACTGTGGTACGTTGCGTTATCCATTATAATTAACGATGGTTCTTCCAAGTTTACAATTAGTTGCTTTTTAAACCAGTTTTCAAAATTTTCGGTGTTCATGTTGTCATGGTAATTACCTGTTTTTTTATTGCATTTAAAAATTAGCGATGCATTTACCACAAAACCATTTTTATTACCGGCATGAACAATTACATATCGCGTCCCACTTCCAGTTTTTTTTAAATCACTGTGTTTAGTACCATCTTGCCACATTCTTCTATCCCCGCTTTTACTAAAAATCCATGTCTCATCCAGAAAAACAGGTGTAAAAAGCTTTTCACTTTTAGCAGCATGGTATTTGTTCAAAAATAATATTCTTTTTAATCTGATTCCAGGCATTTCCAATAACTGTTTTCTTCCATCCCGTTTTTTGAAATGAAAACCCATTTTTTTAATTCCCAAATATAACGAACTTTTGGAAATCTTAGTTTCTGGAGACTCTTAGAGTTTCTACTGTGATTTTATCCTTTCGCGCATACATTTTGTAAATTACTTCCCTCAAACAATGTAGGGTTTTCTTTGTAATTCGGATTTTGCTCCGGGAAACGCTTGCAGACATATTTCTTCTAAATTCGAAATCTGTAGCTCTGTTTGGTTTTTCTAGATTATATAATGTGCATTCTGGGACTTTTAGTGCTTCGGACGCTTTTTGAATTGCCTTAAATCGAGATCCTAAATCTTTTGAAAATAGTTTACTACATTAAGCATAAGTTTTTTGGATTCATCAGAATATCGCATTTTTATATCTTATTTTGCGTTATGACATTAACATGAAACGTAACTTCAAAAACGTGACATCTAACAAATTATTAGTAATCGACGTTCATTTTTGTTGGTAATTTTTTGTTTCAACTGATTTATTAATAATAAACAAGGATGGTGTTATTCTAAATGGGTATTAAAAATACTATATGTACTTTTGATTAATATTAATTATGTTAAATGGCAAATAATGCATGCAGAATGAAAGTAAACTAATTAGACTTGAATATTATTACTATGAACTCTATAATGAAAAATGTCATTTTTCTTATAGTCTAAGAGCTAGCAACGTTTTCGAGGAAGTATTTTAAGACGTTGATATTACTCTTTGATATATCTTTTACTATGCTCTCTGCAACAACATGCGGCCCGTCTGGTTGCCGATACCCGTTGCGTTCACTACTGCGCATCGGAAGAAGATCCTATATTTTTATTAATTTAGTCCTATGAATTCTAGTATTGAATATAAGTCGAACATGTCTCCATAGCGCAGTGCGTAGAGTTTCCGACCACGTACCGATGATTCAGAGTTCGAATCCGGGTCAGGTCAAATACTTTTTTATTTTATTTTCGTTTATATTCTGATAGTAAAGTATTAAATATTTGTTTTTTTTTAATTACCAGAATTATTTAATACTTTACTATCAGAATATAAACGAAAATAAAATAAAAAAAGTCTTTGCCCCGACCCGGATTCGAACTCGTGGTCGGAAACTCTACGCACTGCGCTATGGAGACATGTTCGATTTATATTCAATACTAGAATTTAAAGGACTAATAAAAATATAGGATCTTCTTTCAATGCGCAGTAGGGAACGCAACGTTTACCGGCAGCCAGACGGGCCGCATGCTGTTCTAGAGAGCATAGTAAAAGATATATCAAAGAGCCAGACGTCTTAAAATACTTGTTTTTCCGACGTTGCTAGCTCTCGTACTATACGTTGCGCAATGTATGGAAAAAATATCTTCCTATAATAACGACAGCAATTAAATTATAGATTCCCATTGCTATAAAATATGGTATTAATTAAATTTTTAGTACTTTAACATTATGTTAGTGCGTTTAAAGCTTAACAATTTCATTAAAAAGGTAAAGACAATCACAAACATATAAAATAAAAGTAAAAAAAAATAAAAAATTAAATTATTATTATTAAATTGACATTCACAATAACACAAAAAAATAAACTTTTTAAACAAAAACAACAAAAAATATATACATAAGTGCATAACTTACATAAGAAAACCTAAGCATAATCTGATGTTACCCTAGTATATCAAGAAGATATGAGTTTTCTATAAAAAACAAAAATATCATAACTTATAATAGAAGTCTTTTTCCCATTTTTTATTGAAAAACGCTGATATAGAAAGTGAAACTTAATATAGACCAACGACCTCAAAGGTTAATGAATTTCCAAAAAGTAATGAAAATATTAGTAATCTTCACAAAGACCTATATTGTACCTGGCTAACGTGGATGGGCTTCCGCCGCCCAAAGTTTCGATATCGTCTAATCCCCTGTGTATCGATATTGCGTCCAGTGCACAGCTGTCTCTACTGGCGAGGTAGTCCGTAGTTTCCAAAACCACGCGTGTCGGTTTACGCCATAACTTTAGCATCAGACTGGACGCTACCACGGATACAGAACTCATCGCCATAGCCGCGCTAGCCATCCACGGTGCTAACATAAACCCGGCCATACTGAACACTCCCGCAGCAAGAGGAATACCTGAAATTTAGCTCGGTTTTAATCATGGACATGTCTCAAAAATAGACCAAGGCTGTATTCGGTTGCAAAACCAGGCGAATCGGACCGGTAAACCACGGTAAAGAGCGGTTCCTGAAAAACATCGGTTTGATACGGAACGGTTTGGTAAAATATTGGGAACGTCAAATGTTGACGTTTTCTAAATTTCAATACCTCTATTATAAAATGTATCTTTTATGCATTTTTAATGTACCTATTCTCTGCTTTTACGTTTGCTTCTTCTTTTCAATGGAGCTTAATATTGAAAAGTACTTTATTAATATACTGTTAAGCGGCCCATACATTATCAAACAAATTGCGCAACGTTGCGTTGCACAACTGATTCGGCGGTCCACACATTATCAAACAAGTTGCGCAACAAAGCGATGCGCAACGTTCCGTTGCACAACTGCATCACCCATGCACTTAGTATAATTTTGATCAAACTTTTTATTAAAAGTTGTGCATTGATTGAGAAACAATCATGTCCCCAATTGCTATTGCGTCAATTATTATCGTATTTACCCTAGATGATGTCAATGATACCAAAAAACGAAAAAGAAAACAAAAAATTTGGATGAAATAACTAAAATATTGCACAACGAAGCGCAACACACACATACACTACACAACGCGCTGCGCAAACGCCTGTTGCACAAAAGAATTCAAACTTATCAAACAATTGCGCAACGCATCAAACGTTACCATACATTGGCAACTCGTTGCGCAACAGCCTTTGTTGCGCAATTTGTTTGATAATGTATGGGCCGCTTTAAACTCGTAGACAGCTCAAGTGCCGATTGGCAGGTCCAATATTAAAACAGATCAATAATAAATAACAAATTAATCAATATTTATATTTTAAAATTATATAAGAGTTTCTTGCCTTGAACTGCTAATATAGAAATTTAACTCCACGCTGTGTTCGACATAATGTGGATCAACCTGCTCTCACTACCGGTTTCGGGGCCCTACCCCATCATCAAGTGAGCTTGGGTCGTTTCCACAATATGTCGAGCACAGCGCAGAGTATATAAACACGACTTGTCGTAAAGTAGCGGTAAGATATTAAGTCCCGCATCGCGAGATAGCGGCCTGCGTGCAATGGTAGTACTTTCGTACCACCGAGGCACAACTATCGATAGTAAATAAAGGCTTTTTTCGGCTAGCCCAAATTATATAATGGAAAATAAATTTCTTGCAGTTTTTAGGTATATAATAAAATTATATACGAGTTTCTTGCCATGAACTGCTAATATAGAAATTAATTCCACGCTGTGTTCGACATAATGTGGATCAACCTGCTCTCACTACCGGTTTCGGGGCTCTACCCCATCATCGGGTGAGCTTGGGTCGTTTCCACAATATGTCGAGCACAGCGCAGAGTATATAAACACGACTTGTCGTAAAGTTGCGGTAAGAAAAAGGCCTTTATTTACTATCGATAGTTGTGCCTCGGTGGTACGAAAGTACTACCATTGCACGCAGGCCGCTATCTCGCGAGGCGGGACTTAATATCTTACCGCTACTTTACGACAAGTCGTGTTTATATACTCTGCGCTGTGCTCGACATATTGTGGAAACGACCCAAGCTCACCTGATGATGGGGTAGGGCACCGAAACCGATAGTGAGAGCAGGTTGATCCACATTATGTCGAACACAGCGTGGAATTAATTTCTATATTAGCAGTTCAAGGCAAGAAACTCTTATATAATTTTATTATATACCTAAAAACTGCAAGAAATTTATTTTCCATTATACAGGGTGGAGCACCTCGTTCGCCTCGGTTGATTATACGAAAATGGAAAGATGTAAAAACAAAATATTTTATGGGTATATGTGAGGAGGTAATGTGCACAATTTAAAATTATTTTGAAATATACAGGGTGTCTCAGAACTAAAATCCATACCAAAGTTATATTTTTTCTTATGGCTTAAAGGCATTTATTATAAGGGTTAAATATGTTTAAAATCTTTGGTTTTTGAGATATTTAAAGATATTTAAATTTGCATGCTACAATAGAATTGATTATTAACACCCTGTACATTACATTTCAGAATTAATTCTTGTGCTAAGTTTAAAGGTAGAGAAGTAAACTTAACTAAAAAATGTTATTGCTTCCTTAAATTTATACAGGGGTATCAAAAATTGCTGATATATTTTAAGGATTTATTTTACATGAAAACTGTGTTATTTCAAATACACCCTGTATTTATTAAAATAAATCGAAGCATATTCAAATGCTCTTTCAAACTATATTAGGGTTTCCTATACCTATCTAGCTCATATTTTGAATAAAAAGCGATTTTTAAATAAAATTGCAATCAAGGTGGCTGGTGTCGCCATGGCAATTTTCTAGTGATAGTAACTATTTTTAAAGTCGACATCAGTTTATGGACTTTATTATTTAAATTGATAGCAGTTTACTTTTATTTAATTTACCAACAATAGTTTAATAAGTAATATTTATGAAATATGTATTTATTATTCTACCAAGGAAAACAAAGAAGTAGTCCTTGATTTATTAAACAATGACTTGTAGATATATGGATTTTCTATAAAAGAGCCAATTACGGCAAATTCATTTTCTTCATTTCCAATGACAGGTTTCTGCCTAATAAGTTTTTTATAAAACACACTACCAGCTCTGCGATATAGGACAAGTAGTTTTTCAAAAGAACGCTTATCAGGAAGACTCCTATTTGGATATCTTTGAGCATAAGTCCTTGAGGGCAAGAAGCAATTTTCCTCACAAAATAAAATCACTAGTAACATATCCATTCGTTCCGCCAGCTGATACTGCTTTATTTTCCTTGATAATATAGTGAATACTTACTTATATTAAACTATTGTAGGTAAATTTAAGTTAACTGTTATAAATTATAAATAATAATGTCCATAAACTAATGTCGACTTTAAAAATATTTACTAACTTTCGCTAGAAAATTGCCATGGCGACACCAGCCACCTTGATTACAATTTTATTTAAAAATCGCTTTTTATTCAAAATCTGAGCTAGATAGGTATAGGAAACCCTAATATAGTTTGAAAGAGCATTTGAATCTGCATCGATTTATTTAAAAAAATACAGGGTGTTGTATTTGAAATAACGAAGTTTTTATGTAAAATAAATTCTTAAAATAGATCAGCAATTTTTGAAACCCCTCTATAAATTTAAGGAAGCAATAACATTTTTCAGTAAAGTTTATTTCTCTACCTTTAAACTTAATACAAGAATTAATTCTGAAATGTAATGTACAGGGTGTTAATAATATATTCTATTGTTGCATGCATATTTAAATATTTTTAAATATTTCAAGAACCAAAGATTTTAAACATATTTAACCCTTAGAACAAATGCCTTTTTTTGGGCCCAAGAATCCAAAAATGAAATAAAATACCGGGTGTTTCATAAGAAAAAATATAACTTTGGTATGGATCTTAGTTCTGAAACACCCTATATATTTCAAAATAATTTTAAATTGTGCACATTACCTTCCCACATATACCCATAAAATATTTTACTACATCTTTCCGTTTTCGTATAATCAACCGAGGCGAATGGGGTGCGCCACCCTGTATATTTATATTTTTATAGCTTACAAAACATTCTCGATTACGTGTTGTCTTGTTTTTTATGTTTTCTTTAAATGTTCCTGACTTTTAGAAACAATGGCAGCATGATAAGTTTAAATGGTCCTAAAAAGTCATTCTATTAAGTTAATGAAATTTATTTACCTTTACTACCTACCTCCATTGCTTTTGAATGTAAATACAAAATATTATTACAAATTTTAGAAATTAAATGAGAATTTCACTTGAACTTCCAATATTTGCTTGATTTCTGTCACATAAATGACATTGATTGACAAACAAAACCAGAAAAACCAGCCTTCTCGAGCTGGTTAGTTTGGTGACAGTTATAACCGAATTTTTCAGGAAACGTGTTCTGTAATAATAAAACTTTCAGGAAACCTATGGAAACGTGACATAAAACCATAACCAAGGTAAGCAACGGAATACACCCCAACTAATATTAATTGATTCATTTTGAACAGACAAATGCTGTATTCCGTTGCTTACCTTGGTTATGGTTTTATGTTCCATTTCTATCGGTTTCCTGAAAGTTTTATTATTACGGAACACGGTTCCTGAAAAATATCTATCATAATTGTCACCAAACGAAGCAGCGCGGGAAGGCTGGTTATTCTGGTTTTGTTTGTCAATCAATGTCATTTATGTGGCAGAAATGAAGCAAAAAGATTGAGTGAAATTCTCATTTAATTTATAAAATTTGTGTTATTATTTTGAATTTATACCCAAAAGGCAATGGAGGTAGGTAGTAAAGGTAAAGAAATTTCATTAGCTAAATACAGTTACTTTTAGGACCATTTAAACTTATTATGCAGCCATTGTTTCTTAAAGTTAGGATTGAATTGAGTGAAATCATGAGAAGCTACACAAGAAATAATTATGAATGTTTTGCAAACTATGAAAATATAAATATTGATTAGATCTATTTATTTATTATTGATTTATTTTAATATCGATCAGTTTCCCATGTGGCCACGGGACTCATTTGAGCTGTTTAACGAGTTTTAATACTTCATTAATAAAGCACTTTTAAATAATAAACTTCACTGAAGAAAAGAACCAAGCTTAAAAGCAGAGAATACGTACGTCAAAAACATCATACATTGAAAACACATTAAAAATGAGTAAAAAATAAGTTCTATAACAAAGGTATTGAAATTTAGGAAACGTCAACATTTGACATATCCAGGATTTTACCAAACCCGTTCCGTATCTAACCGATGTTTTTCAGGAACCGCTCTTTACCGTTCTTTACCAGTCTGGTTCACCTGATTTTACAACGGAATACAACCACAAAATGTAAACCAACCATTTATTGACGGTTTGATACACACTTAATATTTTTTTCAAGATTTGAAAACATCATTGACGTGGTTTCAAGATTTTTATATCGACACAAGAAGAGTAGTAAATAAATATATCTATTTACGCCAAAAGTATTTAAAAATTACGTAGAAGTTAAATAGTACGATATACTAAGTTAAATAGTATCAGACAGTGTTGCCAGAACTACTGATTAATATGTAGATTTGCGGATTTTGGGTACAGTACGTTAATAATACGGATATTATATCATTAAACAATTTAATATAATATTATATGATTAAACAAAGAACAGCGTCAGAGTTGGCTTTGGAAATGAAGATCGCTGTTATTTCATATGTAAAATATTATGGTAAATGTCAATAATCATCATTTCCAAGCCAACTAAACGACTTTTTTGAGCGTTGAAAATATTTGTATTTATTTAAGACTCATCCTGTATAATAATCATAGACAATCTTCGTTAATAAACTTTTTTAATAACTTGCAAGCTAGCATTTTTCTGTTATAGCATTTTGTTGTATCTGGTTTTTATATCTTGGATACCTCCGTTTTGTGAAGTAAGGTTAGTCTTGATATCTTACCTAATAAGTTGTACATGCTAGCGAATACAAAATTAAGTCTAATTCTGTTAACAGTTTTTCTGCTGAGTTTAAGACAAGCCACTACGTCAAGTAAATCGTTTCTCATTAGAACCACGTGAGCAGCTTCCACTGCCACATCAGTTCCTGATGCAATAGCCATACCAACATCAGCTTGAGCTAAAGCAGGAGAGTCGTTTATACCATCTCCGACCATAGCAACTTTAATACCTCGATTCTGGTATCTAAAATAATGAAAATGAGTTAAAACAAACATTGCGAGACACTTCGATATTTCAGTTGTGCGTTTTTTTTTTATTTTTAAATATGTCAATATTTAAATTGCACACTGAAAGGCAATGAAACAATAACCTTAAATTATAGTTTTGATCAATTGATCATAGATGGCGCAATATTAGTTTTCCATATTAAAGTTGGTAAAGAAATATTGTTTTATTGAAAAAAGTATGGATCTAGATCCTTTTTTAGTCAAAATCAAAAGGCGCAATTAGAATTTGCAGTGAATTATAGAAAAATTTGATTATAACTATGTGCATAAATTTGATCGCGAATAACTTTTAAAGGAATGTTTTTATTGAAAAAACCAAAGAGACCTTTTGGTTGTAGAGCGTAAAATTTTGTATTAGAATATGTCTTTGTCGAAGCTGTAGGTTCATTAAAAAAATTAAATGCAAAAGGTCAGAAAATCCCATGTTATTTAAATGGGAAAAGTATCATGACTCCGGTACGGTATAAATTAAAAATTAAGAGTTTGTTTCCGTTTGATGATGTTTTTAGAGCAAAAACTAAAATTTTAGAGGGCGGCAGCAAAAAAAATCAACTTGGGAAATGAGTATTTGGAATAGAAGAAAAATATTAGCAATTGGCGACTTATTCTTAATTGTAAACTTCATAATAAATTTTTATTAATTAGTAATTGTGTTTTACAACATATTATAAATTCTTACAACAAAAAAAAACAACTTACGACTTCATACATTACCCATCATTATGATCTTTAGTTCATACAAAAATCCCATAGAAAAAAGTACTTGCAGTTTATCCCCAATTGTCCAGTCATTCTTTATTTCCCTATAAACCTTATTGAACCAATATCGAAATATCTAATATACAGTATGTTCCTGGATTGTCTTTACAAGAGAAGCACTTTTTTATTAACATTCCGAAAAAATGCATTTTTCATAAAAAAATTTGCTTGTATAAAATGTTTTTTTTTAATTTTCTTCAAAACGGTATGGAAATTTGAAAAAGTATCAACTGGGTTAACAATTTTAAAAGAATAATTTTTATATGCAGAATGCATTATTATCAAAAGGTCAATAAGAAAAAAGTTTTTCCTCTTGTAAAGACAATCCAGGGACATACTGTAGGCAAATTATCCAAATTGTTGTCTTTTGTTTATATTTATATTAAAAATACCATTCAAATTTAAGAAAAAATATTTTTTTCCATTGATTAAGCTTATTAAAATATGTAGAAAAAATCTTCAGTTCAAAAAACTATTTTAAATGCGTATAATTAAATAATTCTTATTTTTTTATGTTTCTAATACAGATCTATTCTATATAATTAATAAAATAATCTCCAATATTGAAAAAAAATCTGTAAAAATTTAATTTCATTTTAATGAAAATATTCTTTCTTGTCTATCTATTTGGAAGTTAACTCAAAATTTTATTTAAAAAATAAAAATTGCTCTATCAAAAATTGCTTGTTTATATTTTTTTGCGACTTTTTTGCACGGTAATAAAATTTGTGTGTTGTTAAATCAAGGTTAAAAACTCGGATTTAGAAAAGAAAGTTAAAGGAGAAATATACTATTAAACCTAGATCCGCTCATCTCCCACCATTTTATTTGAGGGGTAAAATTCTTGGCGATTTTCATTCATGTTTAAAATTCAAAAAAAGGGCGCATGGTGGCAGCAGCTCACAATACCCCTCATTATCAGACTATATTATATACAGACAAGGATAATACATAACCTTTGTACTCTGGCAACTTTATGAGATGGAAGCACTTCTGCATAGACTTTCGTAATACCGACTTGTCTGGCTATACTAGCAGCTGTTTGTCTATTGTCCCCTGTCAAAAGAATAACTTCAAGGCCCATTTTCTTTAAAGTATATACAGCTAAATGAGCTTCGGGCTTGACCATATCAGCTACGCTAATCATTGCAACTATATTACCTATGAAGAAAAAATAATACATTCAATAATGTTAATATGTTAAATACGTTGTATACCCTATCGGCAAACGAAGTTTAGGGTCGGTCTTTACATGTCTAGGAGTGAATCAATACAAGGGTACGTAATAAGTAACTGCAATGAACTTTTTACCAAAATTTATTAACCGTTTATTATTATAAACCGTTAATAAAGAAAAATTTACCAATGGTAAGTCAGACGACATCCAAAAATTGATTAAAAAAAAATTTCTAATCTAATTATTTTGTGTTTATTTAATATTACTGTGATATATAAAAGTATTACATGATATAAATAGAAACATGATCATTGTGTCAACATATCGGGTGGTGCATGAGCATTGGAAACATAGGAAATCCTATGCAAATTTTGAACTGTCCAATTGTTGGCTCCTCTATTGATTTTACAGCGAAGGTGTAAATGGTCAATAGGTGTTTTAAAGGTCTGTGTATGCTGAATACACATGCCAAATTTGAACAAGCCTATTTTAACTAATTTAAGAAAAACTGCATCTACTTTTAAATTAAAACTGAACAGGTAACAATGCAAAACCAAATAAATGTGTCAATATACCTAAGCTGTCAACCTATAATTTTATCATGGTAAATGTAATCATAGATAAACGAAACAAGTTTAGATTGGAAAGCCCGTCAAAATTTTGGGTCGCGACCGTTGTACGCGATCTGGCACTGCTATAGCGTTTACTAAGAACAACCGCAAACAAAAACAGAAATAATTTTCTCTTGACAAAGTCAGAATCTTCAAAAATTATAAAATCTTTCAAAATCTATAACGCTCTCATTGAAAAAAATTCCGAAAAGTGTTTATAGCGTCCATTTTCAAAGTAATTATTGCTATCTTGTAAGTTTAATTTACTTTTTATGTACTCCAACCCGTCATAATTGTGAAAAAGTGTCATTAAAAACTTAAAAAGCTGTGCTGCCACCTGTGAACTGCAAAAACCATCGTATATCGTGACATAACGTCGGTTTCCAATGTTTCATATTTATTTCATACATGTCCTTATATAAAATAAAGTTTCTTGTATGCAAAACACTGTATTTTACTTATAAAATTAAAAGAAAATAATAATAAATTTGAATAAATAATATTTGGCGATATCATTCCGGAAAAAGCCGAACCGCTCCGAAATTTTTAAAAGCTTTGGGTAGCGACCGTTGTAAGAATAGCGCCAAATAGTGTTTACATCAGAGATATGGAAGTGGGAGAATGAGCTTCGACGAGTGCGCATCCAAATTTTTGTCGACGGCAAGATGGCAGACATCTTCCAGGTCTCGCTGTCATTTCCCCTCTTTAATTGACATCTGTTTGTTTTGTTTTTTTTTTCGTTTCTGTTGTTATCTAGTTAAAATTTATTATTATCTCAATTATTCTAAACACTAATTCAAAAAGGCTTGTATATTGTCATAGTCATTCTAAGAAAGCTAATACGCCGGGAAAAATGATTAGTTTTCATGTGTAAGTTTATACAACATAATCGTGTTTACAGATGATCCAAAACTGTTTATTTTTAGTTTTCCTAAAGGCGATTTGTAAAAATCGTGATTGTAATTGGGAATGGTCAAAAACCAAGTGTGATGTGGCCATTTGAAGAGGATGTTTTTATTACATGTGGAGGAAGAAGATACTTGGAATCAATGTTTGTGCTTCTGTAAAACAGTGCACTCTTATAATGTCCATGAAAGCACAAGTTCAAGTGTACCAGAAATATGTCAACTATTCTATCACTCAGGCAAACAGATTGGTCCTTACTTGACAAGAAGATTATTTGGAGGAAAAGAAAACATAAGATAGGGTATTTTAATCAAACAGCAAAAATTTAACATTTTTATTGTAAAGTTTGTTGTAGGCAGTTGTAGTTTTGTGCTAAATATTTCTAACATTAGCAGCAGCAGTGTTCAGAGTGTCAAGAGGAGAAGAATTCAGTTAATTAGATTTATGCACAGTTACAGGTATGAAGGCTTTTTCAAACATAGTATCGAGTTCTATAGTCAACATTTTTAGTATTTCTACAACTGTAAAAACAAGGAACATTGGACTGAAAAAATGGCAAGATTTATATAGGAAGAAAGGGTATTATGCCAATAAGAAAATAAATCTGTAGGCAGAAGTTTCTTATTTAAAAACTGTTATGGGGCATATATTAATTTGTATCTGTGCCACAAATCAATGAGAAAAATCATGATATTCATAATTGTTAACGAGATGATATTTAAAGAGTGTTAAAAATGAGACTATTAGTCATGAAGCTTACCCTTTTACTTAAAGAGTATTTGTTTCAATATTACACTTTTATTCTTGTAAAATCTATGATGAAGGTCAAAAGCATTTTGCAATGGCCTTAAATTGTGAGCCAGGATTTATAGCAAAGGTATTTGATACAATGAAACTTAATCAGTACCTTCCAGTATGTATTTTAGTAAGGGGATTGTCAATCCCATGTTTTTAAATAGATAAAATACAGTCCAAAGTATTGCAGTTGAGAGGAAACTATTTTATCTTAAAAAATTTTTCTTAAAATTCTGAGATCATATAATCTAATTTTCTTAATAATAAATTAGGTTTGATGGATGTTGTACATACAGAATTTTGTTATGGACAAATAAGGATCGGCAAGCTTCTTTTGTGCAAAAAATAAATGATTTTTTCTAGTATTAAGACAAACCATAATGTGTTTTACAAACTTACCGGTAACAGTTTTTTTTTATAATAAAATATTTAGGAATAATTTATTAATAGTATTATGAAAATATTTGTTAGACATGTTATGTAACAGTTTTTGTAACACAATTTGAAGGGACGAATAAAAAAAATAAAACAAAAACATATTTTTTCTAGGTTTATATTAAAAATACAAGGTAATCATCAAAAATAATTATGAACCAAATGTTTTATGAATATACAACTTGAACAAAAAGTTGTTTAGAACAATTTTTACCAAATTTGCAAAAATTTTAAATTGAAACGCGTAATTCAGTACAAGTAAACATGAAATAATTGTAAATACTTATTTAATGGCATTTCGAGTGTTTAACGACTATGAAAAGGTCATCTGTCCGTAGCGTCTTTTGTCAGAATATTCGTATATTTAGTGTATTATATACCAATATTGTACGCAGTTTTGAAACTGATGATAATTAAATAAATCATAATGTTATCTAACCATAATAAATGATAGAATTTCACTAAATTTAAATTGTCCCCCGTATGGTTGAAAACAGCAAATTGATATTTGATTACTTATAGATTACCACCTATATACAAAATGACACGGAGACCTGGAATATGGCGCCCAACTTGATTAGACCTTCTGCGCATGTTGACGCTCATTCTCTATCCCTTCTATTTCTCTGGTTTACATTGTCCTTATGGGCACTTTCCAATCTAAACATGTTTCATTTATCTATGAATGTAATTTGTGATGCCTGTGTACACTACTACGTTATAGTACCTACGATTAGTGTTCCCGAAAGGCATATTGTCTAATTTAAAACTTATTTGAACTAGGCAAAAGCTCTAATGCATAGAAAATACAATTTGACATTCACACATAGATAAATGAAACAAGTTTAGATTGGAAAGTACCCATATGGACAATGTAAACGCTATTTGGCGCTATTCTTGCAACGGTCGCGACACGAAGCTTTTGAATATTTCGGAGCGGTTCGGCTCTTTCCGGAATTAGCTGCGTTCGACATTACAAATCGCAGATGAGGGCGGGCAGAGGCCGAGTTAAATCACGTGATTGCGGAGTACTCGGATATGCGATTTTGAAGACGAACGTTTTCGGAGCTGTCAGAGCCTTTCTGTTCAAAAATACTATAAATATAACCTATTTTCTGTGTGGTTCGGTGATATAACCTCAATTAAGAAAAAAAAAGAGAAAAAGACTTTCCATTTAAATCTGCCTAAAATGGATATAAACACAGACCAGGCAATAGGTCTGATGTTAAATTTGCGAACAGTATATTTTTTTTGACAGCAGTGATAGTGAAACAGAAGTAGAAAGAGCTCCAAGGGTACAACAATATGCTGAAGAAATTGTGCCACGACTTTCAGATAAAACATTTAAATCTCATTTTAGAATAAACCTTTGTACATTTGAAGACTTACTTGGCAAGTTATATAGCGTTTCTAACTCCACAGTTCATTGTGGAACAGTGCCTGTGCCACTTGATAAGCAACTTATGGTTACAATTTGGTGTTTGGCAAACTTGGAGTGTTTTCAGTGAGTTCTATTCTCAGAGTTATATCAGAGGCAATATGCAACTTTTATTAACCATGGTAAAATTCAAACCTTGTTTTAGATCTGTAGCTGATCGTTTTAGGATCAGTAGGAGTACTTGTTGGAGCATTTTATACAGAGTTTGTAATCTACTGCTAAAGTAAATAAGAAATTTAAAATTATTTCTTGGCCAAGTCAAGTAAGGGCAGAAGAAATTGAAAGGGAGTTTAGGGCCATTAATGGATTTCAGGTAATGTTAATTTGGTTTTCAGTTAATTAGTTATGTTTCATCTAAATGTTTATAGGAATAATTGGAGCAATAGATGGGTCCCACATAAAGGATTCTGAAACCAAAAGAAAACCTAACTCATACTGCAATAGGAAGAGCTACCACTCAGTTTTATTGCAGGGGGTTATGCGACAGCAAAAATTATTCTTGGACGTTTACGCAGGGGAACCTGGGTCTATACATGATATGCGTTTATTTCGAAAGTCAGACCTTAACTCAAGAATAAGAAATGGCTCTGTGATAATTTCAGAAGATCATCATCTTATTGGAGACTTGGCATATAAGTTGTCACATTATTTACTGGTTGGTTTCAAAAATAATGTAGTTTTAACCCCTGCCCAAATTAATTTCAACAACAAACTGTCACAATGCAGAGTAGTGATAGAAAATGCATTTGCTCTTCTAAAGGGCAGGTTTCGTCGTTTAAAGTCTTTAGAAACAACTAGATTGGATCTAATCCCACTAATTATTGTATCAGGAACTGTTCTTCATAATATATGCATATTAAATGGAGATCTACTGGAAGATATTGCAGATTTACAATTGGAAGAAGAGATTTTAATTGAGGAAAATGTTTATGCAGTTGTTGATGATGTAAGAGAAGATTTGCAAGCAGTTCGAAAGAGGAATAATATAATGAATGCTCTACTAATGAATTAAAACATTATAAATAATAAAATTCTATAAGAAAATACCCCCCAATTTTGTTTTATTAGTATATTTTCCTTTCTTGGCACTTATAATATATTAGTAAAAAGCAACAGAAACTATTATTTTTAATTTAATTTAACAAAATACAAACATATACATACAAAATGTACAAAAATATAAATACTTATTAAAATGTAAACAAATTATTTTATTCTTGCTTTCTATTGCTTTGTTGGCTCTGTAATATATCAATATATTTTTGAAATAGGTTATTAAAACAATCCTGTCTCATCATTTTTTCTTTATGTCTCCTCTCTATGCTGTTAGACCTGGCCGAAGATTTTCTCTTTTTAACAAAATTAGAATCTTGTAGTGTCTCCTCATTTTTATCTTCTTCATTATCAGTAGCACTCTTCTTGAATATCTTTTCTCCTGACTTATTTACTTGCAATCCAGAGCTGCTGCTGCAAGTAGCAACTGGCAATATTTCTGGTTTCTTGAAGAGAACAGCATGCATTGCATCAAAGAACTCCCACTTTCTTCTTTGCTTGCCTGAAGTATTATTGTGATCTACAATTTCACGATATATTTTTGTCAGTCCTTTCCATTTGGTTTCACATTGCTGCCAAGTTAAGGTAGTTCCATGTTCCTCGTTAAGTTGGGAAGAAATTTTTGTCCAAATATGTTTTTTTACACAGGTTTGAAACTGTTCATCTCTTTCACTAACTAAATTGATGAAATATAGAGTTAAATCTCTGGTCCACAATCTCTTACATTCTTGTATTGAATTTGTAGAACAACTTGAATCAGTTGGCGAAAGAGGACTTTTTTTATCGAGGAGTTCTAAAGTTGAGTTATTAGCTTCTATATCTTCATATTGCAAATTTATAGGTTCATAGGTACTTTCTACAAATACAAGTATAAAAATAGTTAATTTAGGTATTTCGGTATTCTTACCTTTTTTATTGAAAATATATGTTTCATTGTTTATTTTATGTATCTCTGTATTTTCATCCAGAATTTCAATCACGGATACTACAGCTTCCTCCATTTTTATCTATGAATCTAAGTTAAGAAAAAAGCGTTTCACCGTGGTATTAAAATCTCGTATAAGTAATTATTTATATGCAGTTATAATGTAAAAACCAAACTTTGATCTGCTATGGATCTGCTTTAAGTCCCGGCCACATATTATTCCCGGCTTTAGTTCACATTTGAGGTTATATTATTGCCATAAATCGACCGGATCGACAAACTCAAACAAATTTCCCGCCTTTTTTTCGTTGGAGCTCGATAAGCTCCTTCAAATTATCCGGAGGAGATCGAGCCCGCTCGGAGCGCTCGCAAATGTAATACCGAACGCGGAGCAGATTGAGAAAATCAGAAAGATCTGCAATGTCGAACGCAAAAAGATTGATTAAGCGTTCGAGGAGGTAATAGATTTGTAATGTCGAACGCAGCTATTATACCGCCAAATATTATTTATTCAAATTTATTATTTTCTTTTAATTTTATAAATAAAATATAGTGTGTTGCATACAAGAAACTTTATTTTATATAAGAACATGTATGAAATATCTATGAAACATTGGAAACCGACGTTATGCCACGATCCACGATGGTTTTTACAATTCACAACACAGCTTAAATTTTTAATGCTACTTTTTTAAATTAAACTCACAATATAGCAATAATTGCTTTAAAAATGGACGCTTTAAACGCTTTTCGGAATTTTTTCAATGAGAGCGGTTTAGATTTTGAAAATTTTTATAATTTTTGAAGCTCCTTACTTTGACAAGAGATATTCTGACTTTGACAAAAGAAAATTATTTCTGTTTTTGTTTGCGGTTGTTCTTATATAGCAACCGCTATAGCAGCGCCAGATCGCGTACAACGGTCGCGACCTAAAATAATTTCGCAACACAAAATTTTGACGGGCATTCCAATCTAAATTTATTTCCTTTATCTATGCATTCACAAAATCGTAGGTTGACAATTTAAGATATATGTTGGCATTTGCCTTGTTTTGCATTGTTACCTGTTTAGTTTCAATTTAAAAATAGATGCGGCTTTTCTTAGTTAAAATCGCCTTGTTCAAACTGGACACCTATATTCATCATACGCAGACTTTTAAAAAACCTATATACGTCTTCGCTGTAAAATAAAAATAGGAACCAATATTTGGACAGTTCAAAATGTGTATGAGATTTCCTGTTTCGAACGCCGATGAGCCACCCGGTATACTTTAGAATTCTTTAGGTTTATTTAAAACTTTCGTAAAGAGACTGTTATAGTAAAAAAATAAATATTAATGAATTCTTACCATTTATTGCACAGAGAACAGCGGATCTACCCTCTTCTTCTTCAGCAATCATTTTCCGGTCTACTTCTGGTATTAAGGTCAAACCATTTCTTCTCATCCATTCCCTATTTCCTAAAGGACAAAGTTAGTAATTTTTACAAAAAGAATATCAAATAAAAAATGTCTATACATATGTGGCGGATTCATCTCTCCAAAAAATCCTATATGGGTTTTTCGCCACTGCAAAAAAATCTACAAAATAAAATAGTTATTTTATGTACTTCTGCGTTAATCCCAAACGGAAACTACTTGTCAGAAGTTAGGTTTAAAGATATACAAATTTGCGTAACAAACAAAAAATGTTAACGTTTCGGAAAGTTTATCTCTTTCCGTCGTCGAAAGCAAAAAAAAATACAACGAATAAAGAAAAAAAACTATTAAAAGTATTTAAATTCAACTATTCGAGAACACTTTAGTTTTTTTTTAAAACAGATACGTCTACAAAAACCGTTGACGTTCTGTTAAAATGACATTATATCAAGTTAAACTTCAAAATTAACAATTACTACCTGATAACAATTACTTAAGAGTCCATTTGCGCTACACCGCTCGGGTCGGTCTCAGGGGTCGGGTAGAGCGGGTGTGCTGTGGAAGGCGGTCCGTTCACGATCCCCCACCGCCTGATTTTTGGTCGGACGCATTCAGTGTAAATCACATCTGAATAATTCCCATATTATTTGATAGAAGTATTTATTTCTCCAGCGTCAGAACTTAAAATAACGTATTTTTTAATTTTTTTTCATATTATTTTTAAATAAAAATAATATGAAATGCATTTATACTTAATAATGTTTTTTTTTAAATTGGCAATAAAGTAAACAGTATCATAATTCAGATAGTTCCGTAAGTAGGAGAGGAGGTATATGATTTTAAGAATAATTTTGAAGCAATAATAATAATCATAATAATGTTTATTTAAATATCTAGGGATACCATATTATGTATAACGTTTTGTACAACAATAAGTTAACATATTTCTAAATAAAAAAAACTGTAGAACTTAATACTAGTACATTTTTTTTTCATAACACAATAAAAATATTACAATTCTATATAATATATAACCATGTACATTTTCAAAATAAACACTAAAATTTAAAAAAACAGCCCTTATTTGAAAGTGAAAATTTAGTGTTGTATGTTTTTTTTAATGCCACATCGTAAAAAAACAAAAATTAAAAATGTAGTCCAAAAAATTAAAAAAAAATGAGGTGGGCCCCCCTTGTCACTTAAGGGTATAAAAATAGATAACAACCTATTCTCAGACTTACTGAATATACATATAAAACTTAATCAAAATCGGTGAAGCCGTTACGGAGAAGTATGGTAACAAAAAAATAAAAAAAAACTGCCCCTATTTGAAAGTGAAAATTTAGTGTTGTATGTTTTTTTAATGCCACATCGTAAAAAAAAAACAAAAATTAAAAATGTAGTCCAAAAAATAAAAAAAAATTGGGGTGGGCCCCCCTTGTCACTTAAGGGAATAAAAATAGATAACAACCTATTCTCAGACCTACTGAATATACATATAAAACTTAATCAAAATCGGTGAAGCCGTTACGGAGAAGTATGGTAACAAAAAAATAAAAAAAAAACAGCCCCTATTTGAAAGTGAAAATTTAGTGTTGTATGTTTTTTTAATGCCACATCGTAAAAAAAAACAAAAATTAAAAATGTAGTCCAAAAAAATAAAAAAAAATTGGGGGGGTCCCCCTTGTCACTTAAGGGAATAAAAATAGATAACAACCTATTCTCAGACCTACTGAATATACATATAAAATTTAATCAAAATCGGTGAAGCCGTTACGGAGAAATATGTTAACAAAAAATTTAAAAAAAACAGCTCTTATTTGAAAGTGAAAATTTAGTGTTGTATGTTTTTTTAATGCCACATCGTAAAAAAAACAAAAATTAAAAATGTAGTCCAAAAAATAAAAAAAAATTGGGGTGGGCCCCCCTTGTCACTTAAGGGTATAAAAATAGATAACAGCCTATTCTCAGACCTACTGAATATACATATAAAATTTAATCAAAATCGGTGAAGCCGTTCCGGAGAAATATGGTAACAATTTTTTTTTAAAAAAACAGCCCCTATTTGAAAGTGAAAATTTAGTGTTGTATGTATTTTTTAATGCCACATCGTAAAAAAAACAAAAATTAAAAATGTAGTTCAAAAAATAAAAAAATATTGGGGTGGGCCCCTCTTGTCACTTAAGGGTATAAAAAATAGATAACAGCCTATTCTCAGACCTACTGAATATACATATAAAATTTAATACAAATCGGTGAAGCCGTTACGGAGAAATATGATAACAAAAAATTAAAAAAAAAACAGCCCCTATTTGAAAGTGAAAATTTAGTGTTGTATGAATTTTTTAATGCCACATCGTAAAAAACAAACATTTTTTTTTTCCAAAAAATAAAAAAATTGGGGGGGCCACCCTTGTCACTTAAAGGTATAAAAAATAGATAACAACCTATTCACCGACATACTGAATATACATAATATAAAATTTTATCAAAATCGGTCAAGTCGTTTCCGAGGAGTACGGTAACTAAAACTGTGACAAGACAATTTTTTATATGTATTAGATTTCAGAAATCTGCATAAACCTTAGCCCGATCCTGTCGTGTTAAGCCACACCTATAATTCCAAACGCACGTGCTTTCAGCGAAAAAATATAGTTTTTAAATTCCTTAGATTAGGCCTTGCACAGCTTCAGCATTTGCCATAAAATAGCGAGCAATTTGTTACAAAACCATATATATTATATATCACTGTAATCACAAAACTTCAATCTATTTCCCTCCTGTAACAGAATTTTAAAATGTATTTTTATTTTCGAAAAAATTTAATCCAAACATAAGGTTTATTTTGTTGATGTTTGACCAACAAAATCTTAAAAATGAAAAAGTTATCTAAAAATGTGCTACACGACGGATTTAGTATAATCCTTTATCTTTAATTTCCTTCTTCGTATGTGTAAAAATACCTAGCCAGTTTTACATAAAACGTTAAATGCCGAACGCTTATTTTGCTACTTTTTCGGACTAGTGAAATGGACTCTTAATAAGGTAAAACCAAAAAGCCCAAACTTTCTGTATGATTATTTTTAATTTTTACGTATGTTATGTTCTTTAAAATCAAAAAAGCGATTGCTATACATTACTAACATCTACAGATGCATGAGCAATACATTTATTTTTATTAGATTGTATTAAAAAAGCCTCTTTTATTTTTCTTTTAGAGGCTATCACTTCTTTCATTATAATTTTGGCGTTATTAAAATTTATTCTGTGCCCTGTGTCCCATGAATGCTGACAAATCTCAGATTTGTGAAAATCTCCCTTTCTTAAATAATCTTTATGTTCTTTAATTCGAACATTTAAGGGTCTAGATGTTTCATCAAAATTTATGGAATTCACATGGTATTTCGTATATTACATTTTTTGTTTGTTGTTCTGTATTCATTGGTTTAGTATGTGATAAAATGGATCTAAGTGTATTTTGTTTTGAAAGATGTTCGTATGTTATATTGTTTTCCTATCCATATTTTTTCCGAAACGCCTCGTATGTATGGAATTGTAAGTTGTATATATTGTGTATTGTTATCATTGTGTCTATGATTTGGGGTTTGTATTTCGTTTAATGTTTTGTCAATAAAATATGGTGGATAGTCGTTTTTTATTAATGTATTTTTTATGTGGTTTATTTTTTTTATTTTTTATTGTTTTTAAAAGTGTTTATATAAAATAACTATTTTATTTTGTAGATTTTCTTGCAGTGGCGAAAAACCAATATAGGATTTTTTGGAATATCAAATAGTAGTGACATACCTATGATTACATTATATTCGCCATACCCTACATCCTCAGGCGCATCACCCATTCCAATAAATTGTCCCAATCTAATATTTGGCGATTGATAAATTTCAACGTCTACTCCTTTAACTGTAAAGAGTCCAGTACTACCTGCCGTCACTAACGATGAAAAACTGCTCAGTTCGACACTATTTTTGGAATTTTGAATAATCTCCGCTAAACCGTACACGTCACACTTTAAACCACAACCTGGAACAGCCTAAATAAATTATTAGCTTGTAAGTCGATGATGAATTTAAAAAATATATACTTGAAAATTTTTGCTACTTCCGTTGACATCGGATTTAAGTACATCTTTAACATATTTTAAAATGGCGGCAGCTATGGGATGTTCGGAATTAGCTTCGGCGGATCCTACGGCAGCTAGTATTAATGTCGGGCTCAAACCTTCAGCTAAAATGTCATCGATAATAGATTAAAATACATATACCGGGTGCGTCTCAAAAGTGGCTCACCCCTATAACTTTTTTATTTTTTTTTTAGATAAAAAAACGAGATTTGGTATGTTAGTATATGACATAAATTAGGATTGATTGACATATTCAATTGTTTTTGGTCACTTCCTGTTTCACCGGAAATGACTACAACTTTTCATTTTTAAATGGCACCTTCAGATTTTTTTTTTACTTTATTCGATAGAAAATGGCACTCTGAATAGAATGACATTTTTCCATATGATTTATTAGAAAGTGTAACATGCGGTTCATAACGAGAATTTGACTCAAAATACCAAGTGTGTGGTACCAAATTATTCGTAAAAAAAATTGCTTTTTTCAAATATACTAATGCGCCACCCTTGTTCCATTTGAAAAAAATGAGATATGATTAAAAATACGATTTGGGCATTTTTTAACCGGCCAGGACAAGACACTAAAAACATTAGACGATCAAATATATTTTTCCGAGGCTCCTTGAATAAAAATTAGTGTTTTTAACAGAGCCATGGGACTCTAGATTGAAATTTAAAATACAATTTTGTTTTAAGCGAAAATGTCAAAAATTGACATATGCTATGTCAATTTATTCAGAATGTCATTTTCTATCGAATAATGCAAAAAAATACCGAGGGTGACATTTAAAAATCATAATGTTGCGGGCCGGTGTGGACTCGACCTAACCTCACAATATGGCCCGCCCTCGGATGACCTTAACATCGCATAGACACCGCAATGATTCATTCGTTCGAGAAGAATCGAGTCCCACTGGAATGGACTAGTACATACGAGAACATTCGAAAACCTTCTCTACGCACCTAACGATCTATGGACAATTCTAGAGTTCTTTACCTGTCGGTATAAAAGCCGGCGGCGGTGGCCTACAGGGGGCAGTTATAAATATACCAGTGCAGTTGACGCGCTAAAATTCAAAATAAATTCTTAGTTATAAATCGTTTGTAAATAGTTCTATAAGTCTTTTATCGTTATTGCTTTTGTTAATTAGTGTTAAATAAATAGTGTTTAAATAAATTGTGACTTTCTATCCACACGGAACCGACGAAAAACGTAACAATTGGTGTCAAGTGTGGCGTGTGTGATAGATTAGGAAAATAAAAAGACAGACAATGGCTCCGAAAAAATTGTTGAAAGACTTGAAAGTGTCGGAATTAAAATGCGTATTGGAAGAGAGGGAATGCGAAACAGATGGAAAGAAAAGCATTTTACAAGCCAGACTGAGAGACGTTTTGATTGAGGAAGGTGAGGATCCTGACACCTTCTGCTTTGAGCTGGAAGGTGACCTTGACTCGTCCTTACAAAAATTAGAAGACAATTTGAATAATAAAATCAGTGATAAAATTATGGAAAATTCCCAGGATTTAATCAATACATTAGAAGATAAGATCATCGAAAATTCTAAAGATATACAGGCCAGCTTTAATAATAAAATAGTAATTTTGGAAGAAAGTTTTAACAATAAAATAACAGAGATTGAGGAAGATGTAAATAGAAAAATCGAAATTTTAAAACAAGAAATAGCAAAGGCAAATTCACCAAAATGTCAAGAAACATCGGAGGCACCGAAACTAGTCGAAAATAAGTATATCTCAAAATCAGTTATTAAGCCTCCACAGTTTGACGGAAAAACCGCTTGGGCCAATTATTTTTGCCAGTTTGAGGCCGCTGCGAGAGCGAACGGATAGACAATCGCTGAAAAGGCTACCGCTTTGACTGTCGCACTGCGAGGAGATGCGACTGACATCCTGCAGACACTGTCACCATCGGAACAGGGAGATTATCAGCAATTGGTACGACATTTAGAAATGAGGTACGGCCAAGCTCATTTGGAACATGTCTATCATTCCCAGCTAAAAAATCGCATTCAAAAGTCAAATGAGTCTCTGCAGGAGTTTGAAGCCGACGTAGCCCGTCTCGTTCGCCTTGCGTACCCTGCTACGCCCGAGAATGTTATGGAGCGGTTGGCAGTACAGGCATTCTCCGACGGCTTACGTGACAAGAAACAAGACAAGCACTTCTCCTAGCCCATCCAACGCACTTGGTGGATGCTTTAGCACGTGCCCTAGAATTCGAGGCCGCGAAACAAAGTTCTCGGTCTTTAGGAAGAGTACGGGCCATCGACGAATGTTCCGACCAATCTGTGGAAGGGATTGTTCGGAAAGTAATGGACCAGTACATGGGCAAGAAGGGACCGATTCGTTGCTGAAACTGCGGACAGGTAGGACACGTGCGAAGCCGTTGTAAGGAGAAGAACGAAGAACCGGCTTCGTCGAGGTCGGAAAACTACTAAGGGTCGAAATGAAGGGGCACACGTCGACCTGTACCCAACATGCCCCAACGAAAACTGCTCAAGTCGCCTCGCTACAACACAAATTCAACATCATTTTTGTGGATGGTTTTGTTGATGGAGAGTTCCGGACTATGCTGTTGGATACAGGTGCGACAAAAACTATCATCAGACCGGACATTCTTAAAACATCGAAGAAGGTTAAAACAACACAATGGCGACTACGTACAGCTACAGGAAGCTCCGCTCTCATCCATGGAGAGGTAGATCTTAATTTTGTTATCGGAAGCACCTGTTTTAATCATCGAGTGTTAGTAGCAGACATCGAAGATGAACTTATTCTCGGAATGGACATCATGACCACTAGAGGTTTTGAGCTAAACCTCAAACAAGGAATTTTGAAAATAAATGAAGAAGAAGTGGTTCTGCATCGAAAATGTGAGGAGACGCTTCGCGTGGTGGTAGCAGAAGATGTTTCGATCCCTGAGCGCTGTGAGATATTTTTGGATGGTTGCCTAGAAGGTAAAATGAATAATGGGAGTATTATTCTGTTGGAGCCAAGGAACCATGACAGCGAAATAGGACGAGGGATCGCTGTTGGAAAAGCCCTGCTACGAGCGAAGAAAACTGTACCGGTGAGAGTAATGAACACGAATTATTATTCTGTATCCTTGAAGAAGGGAACCCTCTTAGGGTACTGTTGTTCGGTCTCCTCAGTCGTTCGAAGCGTGGAAGCCTCCAAAGTTTCGACTTCAAAAATTCCGGACAAAATGGTGAAGGAGTTAGTAAACGTTAAAGGATTATCTCCCGAAAATAGAAGAAAATTGAGAAACCTGATAATCAAGTATCAAGATGTGTTTGATAAAGGAGAAGCAGGACAGAGAGGTCGTACCAATTTAGTACAACACAAAATTGATACCGGAGATGCACGACCAATCAAACAAAATCCGAGAAGACTTCCGCTCGCCAAACGTGAAGAAGCTGATAAAATCCTTCGAGAAATGAAAGAAGAGGGTGTCATCGAACCATCTAACAGCCCGTGGACATCGCCGGTAGTACTAGTAAAGAAGAAAGACGGTACCACCAGGTTCTGTGTTGATTATCGGCAGCTCAATAATGTTACCAAGAAGGATAGTTATCCCCTGCCGAGGATAGACGATACTCTAGACACGCTGGCGGGGTCAACGATATTCTCTACGTTAGATCTGAAGAGTGGATATTGGCAAGTCGACATGGCGCCGAAAGACAGAGAGAAGACAGCGTTCTCGGTGGGCTCCGGACTGTGGCAATTTACCGTCATGCCTTTTGGATTGTGCAACGCGCCAGCTACCTTTGAGAGACTAATGGAGTCTGTGTTAAAGGGACTATCCTGGATACCTGTTTAGTGTACCTGGATGACATCATAGTGGTTGGGAAATCCTTTGACGATCATCTGAAGAATTTGGAAGAAGTTTTTCAAGCGACTAGGGAGCTCTGGTTTGAAACTTAGCCCCAAAAAATGTCATCTGTGTCAAGAAAAGGTACACTACTTGGGACATGTAGTCTCCTCCCAAGGAGTTGCGGTAGATCCACAGAAGACCAAGACAGTGGAAGAGTGGCCAATACCTAAAGATAAACATGAACTACGAAGCTTTTTGGGACTATGCACATACTATCGCCGCTATGTACAGGGTTTCGCCACCATCGCAAAACCATTGACCAGACTTACCGAAGGCGAGAGGCGTTTCTCTTGGGACTCAGATTCTGACGAGGCATTCCGAAAATTGAAGAAGGCCCTGACTAGTGCGCCCATACTTAGCTACCCTCTTGGCAACGGAAACTTTATATTGGATACCGACGCTAGCAATGTTGCGTTAGGCGCTGTTCTGTCGCAGATCCAGGATGGTCAAGAAAAAGTCATTGGTTATTTTAGTAAGACATTGTCAAAACCGGAAAGGAACTACTGTGTAACCAGACGAGAATTACTAGCAGTAGTTAAAGCAGTGGAATACTTCTACAAGTATCTCTATGGAAGAAAGTTCTTGTTAAGAACAGTGAGGGCCTGGTGTAAGAAATGTGACATTTGCGCAGCCATTAATGGGCCACAAAAGCGTGGTAAAGCCCCTATGCGCCAGTACAATGTTGGTAGTCCCTTCAAACAGATGAATTATATCTTTTACTAGAAGAACTTGAATTTCCAGATATCATTGCCATAACTGAGCACTGGTTGAATTTTGATGAGCCTGTGTTTATTAAAAATTATACCACAGTAGCCAGATTTGATAGAACAAATTTTTCTCATGGAGGTACTATGATAATGTCTTTAAACAACGACTTTTCCGAGGTAACTAGGTACAATGATTTGTTATCTGAAAAAGTATTCGAATTTTCCATTGTCCACCATAATGCTTATCACCTTTACATTATTTGTATTTATAGAACACCTGACTCTGACGTGCAATTATTCTGTCATAATCTACTAAGCTTGCTTGAGTCCCTGCCCTTAAAAAGCAAATTAATTTTGTGTGGTGATCTTAATATTGACTTTCTCAGTGTATGTGCTGCTCAGGAGTTTCTTCAGTCCATTTTTGATTCTTTTGGAATAGCCATGCATGTAGGCTCACCTACCAGAATATCCAATACCAGTTCTAGTACTATAGACTATGTTGTGTCAT